CTCCTCCTCCTCCTCCTCATCACCCTCGTCATCACCCCCTCCCCTCATCCTCAACACCATCCCCATCATCTTCACCAGCATCAGCCTCATTCTCAGTATCCGTTCCATCTCCATCAACCTCCTCATCGTCATCCTCCCCCCCACCCTCATCCTCCTCACCAGCGCCCCCTCATCCTCATCGTCTTCTCCCTCCTCATCATCACCATGCTCATCCTCGTCCTCATCATCCTCGTCCTCATCATCAGTCGCACCCCCCTCCCCGTCACAATCGACCATCGATACTCAATCATCCTCATCGCCCACATCCTCCTCATCCTCATCACTCTGCATCGTCGCCCATCGTCATCATCGTCGTCCTCACAACCCCCTTGCCCCCATGCCCCTCCGTCCCATCCGCTCACCCCGCCCCATTCATCATCCTCGCATACACACACCCCACATCACCCCTTTCCCTCTCCGTATGCACATGCGCTGCAGCATCGGCGCGCGGCGCCTGGATGAAGACCTCCGCCGCTGTACGTGCCCAGTCACCGACCGCTGGCTGCTTGAGGCAGCGTCGGGCGCGGGCACGGAGGGCGGTGATTGTTATGTAATTCGATGATGGATGGGAGGGTATGGCGTGGACGATGGGGCGATGCGGGTGCGACAGCGGATGGCGATGGCGGGGCAATGTTTGAGGCTGATGGTGATGAAGGTGAAGAGGAGGACAACGATGAGGATCATGACGGGTAGGATGATGATGTTATTGGCGAGTGTGATGATGGTAATGATGAGGACGATGATGAGGCCGCGGACGAGGATGATGATGGTGGCGGTGCCGATGATCACGGTACTGATGATGATGATGATGATGATGATGACGATGACGCTGATGATGATGATGATGATGATGATGATGATGATGATGGTGCGGATGATGCTGATGCCGATGCTCATGATGCTGAATCTGATGTCAGATATGATTAGGAATGGTGCGAAGGGTTAATTGCGTTGTTGCGGATGGTCAGGGTGATGTGTACGACGATGGCGAGCGCGATCCGACAATGTGGGTAATGTGGGTGATTGGGAATATAGTTGGGCGTGCAACAAGGCGATAATTAATGTGAGGGGCGGGGTGCGTTGGATGCCGCGGATGGTAATAGCATGCGGATGCGGGTGAGGATGATTGCGCCGCGGAGTATCATGATGCGGATGATGAGGGTGTGAATTGCGAAGGGGACGATGAAGGTGATGACCACGGTGATGGGGAGGATGATACTGATGGTGGCCAGGGCGAGGATCTGAGTGGCGATGGCGACGATGATGCTGATGTGGAAGATGCGGATGGGGTGGGGTGGGTTTGGTGGGTGGGGGTTGGGTGGTGGTAATGGTGAGGACGAGGGGGGTGTTGGTGGGGTTGATGATGGTGACACACGTCGGTTGCGGAGGGGGTGTGGATTTGGGTGATGACGGAGATGGCGCGGTGAATGATAACGACGAGGCGCGGTTGGGGATGATGATGATGATGTTGCTGCTGATGATGATGATGATGATGATGATGATGATAATGCGGAAGTGGGATGGTGTTGGGATGGTGATGATGATGATGCTGATGATGATGCTGATCCTGGGGGTGATGTGGCTGATGACGAAACTGAGGACGATGAGGAGGATGCGGGTGGTGCTGATGACGGGGCGGATTATGATGCTGGTGAGGAGGACGGTCACGATCATGCGGATTATGATGCTGCTGGTGACGATGTAATTATGATGAGGACGACGATGCGGCAGATGATAATGATGATGATGTGGATTCGCATGAGTAGCAGTGGGACGATGATGATGCTGCGGGCGAGGACGAGGCGTATGATGCGGATGCGGATGCGGATGCGGATGCTGCTGATGATGATGATGCTGATGATGATGATGAGGAGGGGGACGAGTCGCATGCGGATGAGGATGATGAGGAGAATGAGTAGGATGAGTAGGATGAGAACGCGGATGAGTAGGATGAATCTGATGCGGATGCTGATGATGAGGATGCTGAGGACGACGATGATGCCGACGGTGATGATGATGATGATGCTGATGATGATGATGATGGCGATGCTGAGGAGGCGGGGGTGTGACGAGGATGATGATGATGGTGAGGACGGGGAGTATGTGGATGATGATGATGAGGAGGAATACGATGATGATGACGACGATGATGAGGACGAGGGTGCTGTTGATGAGGAGGAGCCGTACGAATATGAGGACGATGAGTATCATGTTGGGGAACATGATGAAGCGTATGACGATGATGAGCAGGATGATGAATGACGAGGAGGAGGAGGAGGATGAGGATGATGAGGACGAGGGGGGATGGGGATGCAGACGTGGAATATGATGATGATGATGATGATGATGATGATGATGATGATGCTGATGATGATGATGCTGATGATGATGATGATGATGATGATGATGATGTGGAATGATGGTGATGTGGGGGGGTCCCCAGTCTCCGCACACGCCTCACCCGCATCCCCCTGCTCGTCGCCTTCACCCCTTCCAGAAGCTGTCGGGCTCGACCCCGCGGCACGGGCCCCTGGGGGAGGGGGATGAATCGTTCGAGCTCAGACTCTGACACCGACATGGAGGCGACAAGTCCGTCGGAATCAGTCGTGAATGACACCGATCACCTTTATGACCCGAGGGCGCAATTTCAAAAAACCAACCTGCCCCCCCCCGCCCCCTCCCCCCAGTCCAACGCTGTCCTTGCACAGTTTTTGCGTCCCTTCATTCTGGTTGGGAGGGGTGGTGCACACGGAAGACATTGGGGTGAATTCGGTGGAACGACCTGCCCCCCACGGAGCGGACGGCATCGCATGTTGGCCGTGTCGCTTCATGGGGGGCAGGTCGTTCCACCGAATTGCAGAGGTCGGTTCTTCCCGCGCACGCCCCTCCGGGCTCCCAGGGCGCAGTTCTAGCCGAGGCGCGATCGTTCCGCCACCTCCCGAACACGTGCAAGGCCATGTCAACATCGGTGGCCGACACGGTCATGCTCAGTCTGTTTCGCAAGGCTCCAGATGGAACCCAATTTCCCGCGTCCGCGAACGAGAGACAAGAAACGACCTAACAAGGGGTTGGTCTGGAGGATTGGGGGATGGAAGGAGGGCTATGCATTATAATAAGGACTACGGTGTACGTGGCGCACGGGTAAACGTGAAGACAAAAACGACACACGCACACACAACACCAACGACAACACCAACGACAACAACAACAACAACACCACCAACAACAACAACAACAACAGCAACAGCAATAACAGCAACAACACCACCACCAACAACAACAACAATATACACGCGTGTGTTTGCGGACGCGCGGGAATTGGTTTCAATCTACTAGGGATGGGCACAACATGGTCGGTTTATGCCTACCCGTGAGTCTGTGCCTAGGAGCGGTAGTCTCACCGTGGGATGGCTCCGTCGGATCGGGTACCATGTGTTCCCGCAGCTAGATGCCAGTCTGTATGCATACTATCACGACACGTTTTTCGCTGCGGCCGCCCCCTCCGACCACGAGAGGGTTGTCCCAGAGTTCACGGACGCAGAGCTGCTCGCCATGATTGGGTGACGTTTGCGGAAGTAGTAACACGACAAGTGAAAAAGGGATGGGGAGAGACCGACAAACACAATTCGTTGAGTCAGGTGTCTTAAGGATGTTTCAGTGTTTCGCATGGTCGGCGTCGCGCCCCAAACGGCCCAACATGCCCCCAAGACCGCGACAAGACAGCCCACTTGCAAGATTGATCCCCCGTTCCGCCCCCCTTCAACAGAAGCGACCCAAAAACTCCCCGCGACTGCCCAAACAACGCGCCCACACGAGTGTCGAAGCATGCCAGAGGGCAACCACAAGGCATGCAAACCATTGGCCGAGCCTTCCTCTCAACGATGCGCCCTCCCCAGGCTCCCGAGATGCCCCAATATGCACCCAAACGCTTGAACGAAGTTCCAACAGAATACGACCACGCCCTCCCAGAAACATCAAGATATTCCAGGAGGCCCCAGCGATCGATGCTTCCCACGACATCCAAACTAATCCCAATGAGGGGCCGTACGCAAATTGCAAAATGGCACGTGCCCCCCATCGTTCCTACTCCCCTGATCTTGTAATTATGAGTGCAGCCGCCACCGCCGCACGCAAATCGACGATCCTTTCCTCGTCGCCGCTCCCTCGGTAGGTCGCGGCCCATCGGCGCACGTCGTCTTGGTCGACATAGATAAACGTTCCTCAGGCCCGTTTGTACACGCACACACGCACACACACACACACTCGCGCACCAGTAAATAATTCCCACGAACATAACTAACGATGTGCGTAACCATGAATATCCGATCTGATCGGCAACCCGTTCGACTTATGACAGCCCCCTGTGGACGATACACGCACACCGCAATGTAAAATGAGTAGATTTGCGTGTATATCGTATACTGCACATACATTATTATTCTTATGATAGCACTCCAATCCCTATGCTAGCACTTCAAGTCTTACATGTAAATCACACGCCTTGCGCTAGCAATCAGGGATCCTCTGGGAGGGGCCTCCAATATGTTCCCTCGGCGAAAACGGCAGAACGAAAACTTGCAAAAGGCATTGATGGTTGACTGTTTTCGTCGTCGCCGTCGCCGTCGCCGTCGCCGTCGTCGTCGTCGCTGTCGTCTGTTGAGTCGACGTCGTCTCCCCCTTGTTGCCCGGCATTTATTCTTCCTGCCCCTCCTTATCCCCCTCCCCCTCTCTTCCGTTTCCTCCTCGTCGTCCTCCTCCTGCCCCCCTCCTCCTGCGCCTCCTGTATCCCCCATCCCTTTTCCAGGGCGACGGTTGCCCCCCTTCTTTGTTACACAGAACGCTGCCACGTTTATATGATCAAGGCAACTCTTTAGGGCGTCGTATGTGGATGGGCTGGCGGGGTTGCGCGGAGCGTGAAGAATAACAAGTCACGAAACTGACGATCACAAGCGTGCGCGATTGTTTTCCAAGCCCCACGATCCGCGCGCACGCAGAGTCTCAAGAATCCCGTATGCAGTGCGACAGCGCCCCGGCGTCGACTAGCAATTAAAAGAGCGGTTCTTTCTCTCCCTCCTCCTCACCCCCTTGCGTCCTCCTCGCCATCCTGTCGTTACTCCTCTCATCCACCTCGTTTGTCCTCAGTGGCCAGAAAGCCCGGCCATCAAGCCACAGGCTCCTCAGGGGCCGCCTGCTCCTCAGGGGCCGGGGGCTCCGCGACTGCCTCCAAGGCCGCCTTCCACGTCTTGAAACCGGCCAGCTGTTTGTACACGTTCGGAATAAAGGTGCTGTTTTTCGTGAGATCACCGGCCACTGTGTTGCAGGCCTTCTTCGAGCGATCCTTGTCCTTACTGTCGAAAGCGATGTGGCACAGGACGCTGACGAACTCCTTCGCGTTCGCCACCTCAGCCCTCGGGCGGCCGCCGCGGCCCTTGCCCTTGGGGCTGTCCAACACGTTGCTGCCGACACCGAGCACGATTGGGTTCCAACCGAAGGGGACCCGTCTGCCCACTCTGCGCCGGGCGCCAGCAGGCGACGGCACGCTTTAACACGGGGGTCAGGCGGCGAGGACACTAAGGGTGGCGAAAGGGGAACACGCGCATGAACAGGGAATCGGAGAAAGAAGAATATATGTGATAATACAAAGGGTATACAATATGAATAACAAGAAAGCGGGAATTTACTCACGGCGCGGCGTGCTCCAAACGCACGCACGTGTGCCACGACGGAGAACCCGTTATACAACTGATGCTTGAAATTGTGCGGTCGTTTTCGGCCACCCCAACACTCCTTATCGATCAAGGTCGGGGAACAAACGATACAGTACTCACGGCGAAGGGCCAGGCCGCCACCTCGCAGAGGCCGAGGCTGGCGGAAGCCGCGACACTACCCGCGGAGAGTGTCCAACACGCACATGGACCATCCACACATGCAATCGCCAACGCCCCTGGGGCGGACCACAGTGAAGGAACCATATGCATTCTCACAGTGGGACAAAGCACAACAGGAGGGCGAGCAGAGCAAAAGGAGGAACAAGAACAGGAGGAGGAGGAGGACGACGACGACGACGAGGGGGAGGTAGTCGCGACGGGAGGCCCTTGCCCCACGGGGCCAGTCCCGTGGACTGGCCTGGCCTTCTCCAACGCCAACACAAGGACGGCGGAAGCGCCGTCGAGCGAGGCATCCACACGCTGTCGCCTGCGCTCAACACGCAGCAGGGCTCTTTCTTGAGCACGTCTGCGGTCGCCCCCGCGAGGAACATGGGCAGAACCGCGACCCCACGGGGGGCTGGTGGCACATCGGTGTCCCAGAGCAAGAGCGCGGGCTGGCGGAGGCTCCCAGGACGCAGCTCGAGCGAGCCTTCCCTGCCTCTCCAGGGACGCCCTGCTTCCTCCTCCTCTTCCAGCCCCTCCTCCTCCCTCTCCTCCTCCGTCCCCCCTTACCACGTTTCCTCATCTTTCTCACCGTGCGCACACACGTGGGCCCCATATGGGCAATCGGGCATCCGTACCGTCACTGCGAAGCGCGACCGCATCACGACTGTGACGCACAGTGGAACCCTGTATACATACTGGCAAACATGGACATCGATCGATGTCCAATACGTACATTGTGGCCACAGATGAGGGGCACTACGTCCATGATGTGATGTGCCAGCTGCAAAGTATATCTACAATACCCAGACACACACCTGACCAGCCCTAGTTCGCTCTTGGACGTGGGCCACCGCCAGCCTATTGCCGTTTGCATGCGAAAAGCAAAGCATCATCGTATATGTGGGATGGGTGCTGCCTTGCGCCCACGTTCGCTTTGTTTCGTTTCTTCAAAGGACGGGCAACGTCAGCCCCAAATTATCTCTCCAAGTCTTGAAGCAAGCAACATGCGTCAGGATGCCCCCCGGAATTTGAGGGGGAGGCTTGATGTGCAGCGCTTTATTCACTTATCCCCCCCCGCCCCCCTTTGCGAGGACGCTGGAGATTGGTTTTACCGTCCGCACCTACGTCTCACCGAAACGCGGGGGGGGTAACCGCGTTACAAGGGTACTCTATAGTGCAGCACTGTTTGGGGGTGAAAACAATGTTCTGACATGTTCCCTGTCCCGCCGTACCAAATTCGCGGCCGACACGGAGGAGGGCGTGCTCCGCCGCACAGGGCGCGGCCTATCGCCTCGACGCACACGCCTCCCAGGGAACATGCCCCCAGACATCGCAGCCCCAGGGGGCGACATGACAATGCGCGGAGCCGTTGTGTGGCGGTCTTGCAAGACGCTGCGGGTTTTCAGAGGGTGACATTTTTGGCCCCCCCCATCCGGGCCCGTCTTGGATCACTTCAAGCATTCAACTGCCAGCCTATCGCCGTTCGCATGCGGAAAGCAAAGCATCCTCATTTATGCGGGATGGGCGCAGCCATGCGTTCACGTTCGCTGTGCTTCTTTCCGAAGACCGGGCAACGTCAGCACCAAATACCCTCTCCAAGAATGGGAGCAAGCAAAATGCGCCACGATGCCCCCCGGAATTTGACGGGGAGGCTTGATGTGTAGTGCTTTATTCACATTATCCCCCCCTTCTTTTTGCGAGGATGCGGGGGATTGGTTTTAGCGTGCGCACCTGCGTATTACCGAAACGCGAAGGGGGGGCGCGTTATAAAGGTAGCCTATAGTGCAGCATTGTGTGGGAGTGCAAGACATTTCTGGCATTTTCCCTGTCCCGCCGTACCAAATTCGTGGCCGACACGGAGGAGGGTGTGCTCCGCCCCACAAGGCGCGGCCTACCGCCTCGACGCACACGCCTCCCAGGGAAAATGCTTCCAGGCATCGCAGCCCCAGGGGGGCGACATGACAATGCGCGGGGCCGTTTTGTGGGGGTCTTGCAAGACGTTGAGGGTTTTGGCAGGGTGGTATTTCTGGCCCCCCCATCCGGGCCAATCTTGGATCACTTCAAGCATTCAACTCTTTATGCGTATACGGTTAGAAACGAAACTGGCCCGTGAGTGTGGGTGGCCCGCCCCGAGCACTCCTGGAGAACCCCGATACGGAGTCAATGTGCCAAACCTTTCCTACCGACGAGCGCATCAGACAGGAAGCGGCACCCGCCGGAAGCGGTACCCGCCGGAGCACTTGCTTAACTGAAGATGGCGTCGGGGACTCCAGTGCTCCCAATGGCCTGCGTTCTGTTTCCTCCCTCCACCCTCCTCCCTCCTCCCTCCCTCCCTCCCTCCTCCTCCTCCTCCTCCTCCTCCTCCTCCTCCTCCTCCTCCTCCCTCCTCGTTCCTTCTGTGCCCTCCTACCTCCTCCCTCCTCCTGTATCCTCCTCCCGCCTTCCTCCTCCTCCTCCTCCCTCCTCCTCCTCCTCCCCCCCTTCCCTCCTCCTCCTCCCTCTCCTCCCTCCTCCTCCTTCCTCCTTCCTCCTCCCTCTGTATCCTCCCTCCTCCTCCTCCTCCTCCTCCCTCCTCCTCCTCCTCCTCCTCCCTCCTCCTGTATCCTCCAATCTCCTCCTGCTCCCTCCTCTATCCGGCCGCCTCTACAAGAGGACCCTCCTCCCTCCACCCACCTCCTCTTACTCCTCTCCTCTTTCCCTCCTCCCTCCCCCTCCTTTCCTCCTTCTCCTCCTCCTCTCCCTCCTCCTCCTCCTCGCCCTCCTCCTCCCGTCCCCCCTTCCGACGGGGGCCAACGTGCCATAACGCACTCGTCCCGGCGGCGTTGGCCGACAATTTCGCCCGCCCTGTTCCCTGGGAGGCGCGAGCCAGGTTCGGGGGGCGGCCCAAGGCAAAGCCCGAGCATCCTCCTTCTCCGCCAGGGCGCCTCCGAGAAACAAGATGACCGCAGTGCCCTCCACGACCGACATGAACATGCCGCAACCAGCCATGGGCATCGCCTGGCGGCTGCACAGGTAGGCGCCAGCCTGCATCGTCACCAAGTTGGGCCGCACGCCGGGCACCACCTGGCCCCGCGCGGGGGGGCACCAAACGGCATGGCAAAAACCGCCCCTTTCCAATGAATGTATGGAGGGCAGACACAAGGGAATGGGTCAGCGGCACGTTCCCCATATCCGACCTGGAACGGCCCAGCGTCACCACCGGCAGGGTTCCACACGAGCTCGCTGCCCAGCTGCACCGTGCCGTTCGCGTGCGTGCCCTGGCAGTCCTCCACCTTCTTCCTCGCGGCGTTGCTCTTCTCCTTGAGGGTGGCCGCCTCCGTGCTGAGGACCTGCTCGAGCTGCACGTGCCAGTGGTGCTTGGGTTCCGAGCCAGCAGGGATGCCGCGCGGCAGCAAAAACACATTTTCGTAGCTCTCCCCCTCCGACCAACTGATCTCGAACGGGTACGCGGACGAATACGTCTGAGATCTGGACTCGGCGGGCTTCTTGAGATGCTCGCACAACACGCCCGCCATGACCCGGGAGACGCCCGAAGGAGTGCCGCCCCGGGAGAGCTTGGCGGCAACGCTGTCGACGTGGCCCTTGGCGCTCTTCTTGGCCGCCGTCTCCTCGTCCTTCTTCTGCGCAGAGATGACATCGGCAATCTCTACGTAGCCGGCGAGCGTGTTCAGCTGGGTGTCGAGGCGTTCGGACAACGTCTGGAACTCCTTCCGCTTGCTGTCCACGTCCAGTGGGACCGTCCACTCGTCGATCTCGCGCGAGAAGCCCTCCAGCGCTGCGTTCGCCTGGGGATGTCGTCGTCGTCGTCCTCCTCCTCCTCCTCTTCCTCCTCCTCCTCCTCTCGTCCTCCTCCTCCTCGTCCCCCTCCCCCTCCCCCTCGTCCTCCGCGTCCTCCTCGTCGCTCCTCGTTTTCTCCCTCGCCGTCCCCCTTGGTCCTCCTCCTCCTTGTCCTCGCCCTCGTCCTCGTCCTCGCCCTCGTCCTCGTCCTCCTCCTCCTCCTCCTCCTCCTCCTCCTCCTCCTCCTCCTCCTCCTCTTCTTCCTCCCCCTCCCCCTCCTCGTCCTTTCCCTGCCGGAGGGTCCCCAGGGCAGAAACTCTGGGTGTTTCTGGGCACCCGGGGTGGGACCTGTTCGACCCGCTTGCGGGGCGCCCGGGGATTTGCACACCCCATCTGCGAACGTGCGAACGCACATCCTGCAGAACCTCGGGTCACAGGGACGGGGAGAGGTGAAGTCGCCGCGTCTGCCGCGCTGCCCACCTGCGAGTAGCCCAGGCACTTCACGTCGGGGTGCTCCTTGTACGGGGCGAGGGCCTTCAGCATCGCCGCCACTTTGCTGACGTCCCCGTCCTGAACATTCCGCTGGCGGGAGCAGCGGGTCCGTGGCATCGCGGGAGCGTTGCCACGGGCCCGCTGCTTCCGCCGACGGGGGCCAGGGAATGATCAGCCAACGACCCGTCTCTTCGCGTGTCAGAAACAAGCCTGGACTGTGAGACACCGAGAATCCATGAATAAATATCGCTTTTCAGAGCAGCGGTTTTCCCGGGGATAATGCCAGCTCTCGGCCTCGAGTAACAATGGGCATACCATTGTCGAAGAGACGCGAAGGCTTTTAGATTGCAAGGGGTCGTGGCCCGAAACGCCTTGAAGGTGGCCATCTGGGCGGCCGCCGCCGCCCGCAAGGACATCTTCGCGTTCGACAGCTCCACGGGGGTGTTCGCGGTCGCGGGCAAGTCCGCGACTGGCACGAGAGCCGGGGAGGTCTTCTGCTTCAGCGGGGTCCTTGGTTTCTTGCCGTTCTTCGGGGCCTCCTCGTGCGCCGCGGCCGCACGCTTGCCACCCGTGGCAGGAGCCGCGGCAGCAGCCGGGGACGCGGCGCCCTTGCGACCTCCGGGCGCCGGCCTCGACGCAGCCGCCGAAGCGGCCGACAAGGACGGAGCGTCGTCAGAATCGTTGTCCTCGGACCCGCCACCCTTCGGCAGCTCGTCGGACCCGTCGGAGTCGGAGTGCACGACGGCCGGGGCACCCACCGCGGCGGCGGCAGCTGCGGTCTGCTGCACGCCCTCCCGCATGAGACACCTCGCCGACTGTGGGTCCACTGTGAACCTCCGGGGATCCTGGGCCAACCTGGAGCCGGCGACGTCGTCGTGCAAGATCTGCTTCGGGAGATTCACCCAGACCTTGGTCTTGCCCTTGTCCTGGACCGTCTTCTTGCTGTCCTCGAGCTTCTTCCAGTTCATCTCGGCGACGTTCCTAGTCTTGCCGCGCCTGTACATCTGGAAGGCGATAAACTCGCCGCGGTCGAGAAGCTCCGAGCCGTTGCGGGCCCTCACCTCGGCGACCCTGTACATCGTCTGGACCATGTTCACTCCGTTCTCGATGCCCTCGGAGCCCCGGCCGCCTGTGACCACCGCCTTGTGGCAGTGCTGCTGATCCTCGGGCGACAAGGAGTCGTACTGCTCCCTGACCTGCGCAGCATATGGGTTGCACGGGAGGGAATAAAGAAAGGGGGCGTGGACCCCCACCGTCATGCCGTCAGTACCGTTAAGGATATATTGGGAGATGTGCGCCATTCGGTCATTGGCTATGTGAGCCATAGTATCCCCCGTGACGTCATGATTGTCCAATGCGGACAGAGGAATGTTGATGGGCGTGTCCGCTGTATTGTGCGCAATTGAGATATCGCTGGTGGCTGGCATTTCCTGAACCAGGGGGGCAACACCCCGAAACGAGCGGAACGCACGACAAACGAGCGATAAGAAACGAAACGAACAGAACAATACGAACGAAACCAAAGAACCCGGGAAACGAAACGAAAAACAAAACGAACGAAACGCAACGAAACGGAACAAACGAAACGAAAGTTAACATAACAAACGAAAGGAAACAAACTAAACGACAGGAAACGCTAGAAAACGTAAACAAACGAAACGAAACGACACGAGCAAACGGACACGAAACGAGCGACCCAAAACGACACGAAGATAACGAAACGACACCAAGGAACCAGGATAAGGAAACGAAGCAAACATGAAACGAAACGCGGCGAAACCGACGAAACGAAACGAAACGAACGAGACGAAACGGACATAACTTGGTGGAACGACACGAACGCATGGTGGAGATAGTGTTCCCGCGGTGACCTCGGTGCGGGCTGGGCGCGCCAGGGAGGCCACGAACTGTTTCACGGCCGCGCCGCAGTCGTGGTGTTGGTTTTTACAACCGCGCCACGGCGCCTGGCCCACGTGCACGGGCTTCTCACACGTCTTGCACTCGGCGGGTGGCTGCCGGTCGGTTCGGGGCACAGGGGCGGCGACCGGGACGAACATGTCATCGTCAGACATGCTTTGACGCCTGCGCGCTGGGGCCAAACAGCCGCGGGCCGCGGATGCCTCAGGGAAAGCGACTTGGGCCGCGGCAGCTTGCGGCGTGGGTAGCAATGGTGACGATGGTGATGATGATGATGATGATGACGGTGACACGAGCAGTGTCCGCCGGTGGTAATGCAGCTCCAATGATGATGCCGGCTGTGGTGGGCCGGAAGGATTGCTGCAGGCTGCTGGTATGGACGACCGAAACAACATGTTCAAAAGGAATCTAACAGCGCCAGACTGCGCCGGGACAGCCGCGGGACAGCCACGGGACAGCCGCGGGACAGCCGCGGGACAGCCGCGGGGCAGCCACGGGACAGCCGCGGGACAGCCGACGCAAAGCGGGACTTTGGGAAATAAAGCCGCGGCCCGGGGAGATAAAGCCGCAGCCCGCCGCGGGACAGCCGCGGGACAGCCGCGGGACAGCCGCGGGACAGCCGCGGGGCAGCCGCGGGACAGCCGCGGGACAGCCGCGGGACAGCCGCGGGACAGCCGAGGCGCAGGCGAGGCAATATGAGGCCGGATTGCGCTCCAACGGAACTGTTTGGCATAGAAGATCATCCCTGGTTCGGACGACGAAGAAGTGGAAAAAGGAGGCAGGAGGGAGGCAAGGGAGGGAAGAGAGACGAGGGATGAACGAGGAGGGAGGAAGGAGGGAAGAGGGATGGTGGTGAAATATTGAAGGAGGAGGGAGTGGGAGGAGGGAGAACGAAACTATATTGGTGGAGGGGATAAGGAAGAACGAGGAGGGAGGGACAGGGAGGGAAGGAGGGAGGAGGGAGGAGGGAAGAACGAGAAGGGAGGGAGAGGAACAGAGGAACTGTGTTCCCTCCTGGCTCAGCCGTGCTTTTCTCTGTAGCTATCAGTTTCAGACTGGAGCAAAAGTGCGCGATACCGCATGTTGCCCCTCGAACTGCCTCCTGCTCGATATGTAACTATGTCCCGATGCCGCGGGAGAAAAAATACAATGAGGAGGGAGGGGATGAGGTGATGATGGTTATGATATGTTCTCAAGCAAACCGGTCGCAGCACTCCTGCAACTCCGCCTGACGAGTATCCAGGACATGCTGCACTGCTGCTGGCGACGGCTTGGTTTGATTGTGGCATTTTGCGGATGCCCCTTCTGGGAGCTCCACATCGCGCCACGCCATCACGTAAGCGAGGGCCCCCAGCACTCCCCCGCTCTTGTCCGAAACGATCCTCTTCTTCTCGCAGCCGTCGTGCCGAGGACACTGGCATATCCAATTCTTGTAGGACCTGTGCACTGCATGTTCGTACTTGCCCGCCGCCGCCGAGAGCGCAGCCCCAAGGCTTGTGGATAACAACCGCCCTCGCTTGAGCACATACCAGGGCAGGCGGGCGAGCAGCGGGGAAGAGCAATAGCGGCAGCCGGAAGCGATAATAGCAGCCGGTTTTTGGCTCCAGCGGGGTCGCGGGGGAGGCGACAGCCTGGTTTCTCGAGCTCCACCAAGCCGTCGCCGAACGGCGCGGGACACCAACTCCTCCGAGAGCGGCGCGTGCGCCCGCCAGCCGGCCCCTTTCCCCCAGAACAACCAGCAGCGCCTGCGACTACGAGGTCGTCCTCGGCTGGCGGTGGTCCTGGAAGGGCAGGGGGCGCCGGCGGCTCGAGGACCACGGCCGCTGGAGGGGCTGGCGCAAGTGCTGGTGGACGCGGGGGCGCCTTTGGAATCACGGGCACATGGCCCCCCGCCACAACAACATCATCATCATCATCGGGATCCTCTGGCACAGGAGGGGCGGGCAGCGCCAGCGGCTCCGCGGCGGCGATGCGCTTGTACTGCGCATCGCCCAGGCCAGGCTCGACGTGCTTCCCATCGAGCAACAAACGGTAGAACATCTGCGGTTGATCCGATGGGATGCAACTTGTCTGCGTTAAACGAACGCCGAGATTCAGAAGAACCATGTAATACAGCTCCATGCGCACTGCCTCCCGCCCGTCCATGACCATGGCTGCCGGATCAGAAGAGCGATGCACGCATTTTCCTTGGGCGAACTTCCAACCTCGTTTTCGAAGCTCGTCGAGGATGGACCACGTCGGACATCTCTCATCAGTGAGCGGATGCTGCGGCCTCGCTGCCTCAGGACTCGACAATTGAATGGTGCCTGGCCTGCCGACGCAGCCAACTGCATGGCGGTGCCGGATGGCTGACCGCCTGAAGTCAGTAAAACTGCAGATGGCCTCTGGCTGGACCCACTGGGGGTCCTCCGCTGCGTGCACAAAGACTGAACCTTCGCCGTCGCCCTCCTGCACATCGCACCGCTGAATGTTCACGGCAACCACAGGGAGCGCCTCAGGATGCAAGTGCGAGTCGGCAGTCGGCATGAGGTGCGCTCGTGACCGCGAAGATTGCAATCGCAAGACTTGGAAACAATCGCGCACTGTCTCGGTCACAGCCGCGCCGTCAGGCCCAATCGCACGCGACTGCCTCTGCACGACAAACCATTGGAGGGGGGCGAGCACGGAGGTGATGTACTCCAGCTGCACCTGTCGTGCGTTTGTGGTCTTCAACGGCAGAGGCGCTGGAAATGGAGAGCTCCGGGAGCACGTGCCGCTCCAGTCCTCGGCGGCCATGTCGTCTGACCTGTAAATGCGATCGAAAGCTGCTTTCCGCTTGATTTTCACTCGCCTGAAAGGCGTCGCTGGCGATGTCTGGAGAATCCTGGTCCAACAACGCCACTCGAAGCAGAAGACATCTTTTCCTGGCTCGCCGTGAGTACGGATGAACTGCCTGCACCTCTGGATGTTCTCGGCGAGGCGGAGGTCTTGTTTGATGTAGTGGACGGTGGCTCCAGGGGCACGCTGTCGCACTGAGTGGGTTGATCTGTGGTACCCCTCGCCAGGGCTTTCATCCAGCGGCGCCAAGTTGAACAGCCGCACGGCTTCTGCCAAGGGATCCGGGCACTCCCCGCCTGCAGCGAGGGCGACAAGGTGCGGCCCATGTTGGTCCAAGAGTCTTCGGGTCAAAGGGTCATGCCCAGACACGTGGACGAGTTCCACCTGGTTGAGAAACTCGCGCGCACCTGCAGCCGACCCACACTGAGAGAAGCACCACGGCGCCCTGGAGAGGTACTGGAAACGCATGTCCAAGTCAGATGCTGCCAGCCGGAAGCTGGTGGCGAGCGCCACCGTGAGTTCCCCAGCGCCCTCCTCGTCCGCAGCTTGAAAAAGCCTGGCACGTTCAAGGAAATAATCACGTCGACGCTGAATCTCTGCATGTGCATCTTTCAACCGTCTGCTCCTGAGCGGGCACTCCTCGTGGCCTGCCAGTGGGCGCAGGCCTGGCGGGTAATGGCACGCGCACTTCATGCCCCACCGCCTGCAGCTTTCAAGCGGTTTGAAGACCTCCGCGTGGGAGGCGCATATCCATTTCCACAGCGAGCGGTCCCGGCAAGCCACCAAGACGTCCCGCAACAACTCCCTCTCTTGAATATTTGGAAAAAGCGATTCGTGCATGTGCAATTCACAAAGATCCCGCAGCTCGGCCAACTGGCAGACAACGTCCGCCACCGTCTCGTACCGCCACTTCGCAAACGAGGCTGTGAAAAACTTGAGCTTCTTATCCAAATCAAGGCCCCGATCTCGCAGTAGACGTTGCAAATGTCTCCGGTAGCCTTGGTTATGGAAGAACCTACATAAATGTCTCATGTGCTGTATCTTCAGCGGCCAACCTGGGGTGGCCTCGGCAATCCGTTTCATAACTCCGCCCATTGTGTGCGACCAGCCCGAAATGCGCACAGCATTGGGGAGAAGCCTGCAAGAACTGTTGACCAAGGGTGCCACTGCAGCCAACGGGCGGCCAGATATCCACGCCAGGAAAGCGGGCAGCACGTCTGGCATCTCCAGCAAGTGGATCTGCGAGGAGGCGCCGAAAGTTTCGCATGGCCTTCCCAGCCCCCCGTGGAATGGGCAATGCAGTGACGGGGAAACGGGTCACGGGGATCGGGAATTCGACGTAGCCCTCCTCATCGCCCCCCTCCTCGCTGAAGGAAGGAGGAGGCGGCTGAGGAGGAGGAGGAAAAGGAGGGGGGAGCAGGAGGAGGGGGGGAGGAGGAGGAGGAGGAGGAGGAGGAGGAGGAGGAGGAGGAGGAGGCGGGGAGGAGGAGAAGGAGGAGGGGGGTGGGGAGGAGGAGGAGGAGGAGGAGGCGAAGGAGAAGGAGGATGATAAATGGGGGAGGAGGAGGGGGGGGAGGATGGCCCACGTCGCGGCCAGGATGCCCCACGGGTGGTGCCCTGCGGTCAGACTCTCGGGACAACTGGGGGTCTGGCGACCGCGGTATGCAGGGCGGGGGTGGCGGGGATGTTTGTGTTTGAAATGTGACAGCCCCAACCTGTCGGGTAGGGGAAAACCCGGTTCGGTTCTGTTACGTGCTGTGCTGGTATGTCCTGTGGTGCTCTGTCATGCTCTGTTATGTCATGCTCTGTTCTGTCGTGTTATGCTCTGTCGTCGGATGATGTGTCATGCTCTGCTCTGGTATATTCTTTGGTGTTCTGTCATGTTCTGTCATGCTCTGTCATGCTCGTGTTCTGTTCTGTCATACTCTGTTTTGTCATGTTTTGTTTTGTCGCGTTCGTCGAGGGCGCGAGGCGGGACACTCGGGCACTCTCGGGGCAAATCGGGGTCTGGCGGCCGCGGTATGCAGGGCGGGGGTGGCCGGGGGGTCTGTTCTCGAAATCTAACAACCCAACCTGGGATGAACGAGTGTGGATGAACGAAGTGTGGATGTCACTCCCCCAATGGGCACCGCGACCCTCGTGCAATGAACTCGCTTGGCGAATATGAACTGGGAACGATTATTCGAGCGGCCTGTCCTCCACGCCGAAATCCGTGGTGATCGACTGGACGGCGTTCAGGAAGAATCGCAAATCTTCCAAACTGGGTCCCGCAATCAGCCACGCCACCCACAGGAAAGCGAACCGACTGCCCCGCTCACGCGGTGGCGCAGCGGCGCACGGGTGCAGGTGGGCAGGATTCGGGGGTGCGGAACAGCTGTGCTGACGGCAACTTTCTCTCCCCGCCATGCCCCGCGCCGACCCTGGCCGCCCGCGCATGGACGAATGCAGCGAAACGTGTTTCATGCAATATGCTGCGTTGGGACATCACATCGCCACCCCCCGCTCCCTCCTGCCCCCTACCGCCCGAAAGCGGGCGCGGCGGAGGCGCGCGAAGCTTGCGGATACCCTTCTGGACGGCACTCGCTTGGCCGTAATGGACTGTAGCTCCTGGCAGGATCGTCCGCGAGATTGTGGTTTCCGGGGCCTTCCATACCAGATCGCACACCATGCCTTGGAGCTCCTCCCCAATGACAGGCGACGCGTCGGAGAATACGTGGACTGCACGCAAAGTGCCCTTTTCTCGGGCCTCTCGGAAAGCGCGCCTCTGGATCAACATGCTCACGACATCAAGGCGGGCCCGCGCTGCATCCAGGGCAGTCCGGCGCGGATCTCCTTCGGCGTCCCGCTCGGCGGCCACATCCACGTCCTCAGCTGATACCTCGTAGGCGAGCGCGTCTCCCAGGGCGTGGGAAAATGCACTGCGGCTCCTGAGGTGTCTGCAGAAAGCCACGGCGTTCAGGAGCTTCAACGGAGCATGTTGCCTCCGACGCCAACCTGGGTTGTCCTCCAGGGGTCTCTTGCGTGGCAGGGCTAGCGCACCTCTGGTCTCGACCTGGCTCCGAGGGGCGATTTCTTGGCACCCCCCGAGGCTGCGAATCCAGCGCCGCAGCACCGCCTTGCTCGGGAAACCCTCTGCGACACCCGAATACCGAAGTGCAGCGCCCAATCGCGGGATTGCAACTACGCGAAAACTAGAAACACGTGGGCGGCCCACTATGGCAGCCCACTCCTCGCCCGTGCAGATGAACCCGATGGCGCGACCGAGCCCACTCCGACCTGTCCACGCTGGTAGATCTTGGTGAGCACACCGCCCCCGTAACCAGACGCGCCGCGAGCGAACGCTGGGGCGGTCGCGCGGCCCCAGTACCACAGGCTGAGGAAACGAATGGGAGCGCAAGGCGCTGTACTCGAGGTGGCCAACCGCCCCAGCTTCGCCAGCAGGCGCCTGCACCAAATTCCAAACGATTTCCGCCACGCCACGCACTTCGGGCGCAGCACCCCCAGGCCCAGGGGCAGCGACCACGACCGCCAGAGCCACGGATTGGCCAGACACAGCAAGCGAGCTTGAACCATGCACTCTGCGCCGCGGGCCTCCCCCCGCTACCACCAGATCGTCGAGATCTGGCGGGATACTCTCGACGGCGACCACAAAATCCAGCGACGCCTGCTCGAGGCGCCCCCAAGCGTGACGAACCTGAACTCTCTCCTCGTCCCCTGACCTCTATCCTCGTCCCCCCCCTCCCTTCCCCTCCTCAACCTCGTCCTCCCTGCACTCCTTACTCCCTGAACTCTCTCCTCGTCCCCCCCCTCCCTCCCTCCCCCTCCCTTCCTCCGCCACCCCCCCTTCATGCCCCAGATCGCCCCCCCTCCTAGCCCCCCCATCCCTCCCTGCACCCTCCCCCCGTAACCCTCCCCACCTCGTTCCGCCTATCCACCCCCTCGTTCCTTCTCCTCCTCCATTTTCTCCCGCCCCCTTTCCCCCTCCCCCATTCATCATACCTTGTGCGGGGGCTGGCGGGCCAAGCCAAAGGCAGCTTGATCGCCCGAATCACCTTCCATGCCAAAAGCCCTTGAGCCAAAATGCCGACGGTGCGCTCACCAAACCGTCGTGCCGGAGAGCGCCAGGATGACAAAGACTCCTTTCGGCCCGCCCGTATGCACGCATACACATGCACATCCACGCAGTCCCCCTCCTGTCATTGCCTGCTCGTGCCCACGGGCTGCCGTCAGAAACGACCGCATCACCAACGCTGCAACACCTGGCAGGGGCGACTAGCTGGCCTCCAGATGGCGATTCCACCGGAGTTGCCGCAGCATGACAAAGCGGTTAGCAAATATGCAAGTTTATGCAAACGACCTGGATACCAACTACAACCAGCCAGCTGGGCGAAGGCGTGGTTTAGCGAACCGCCTCTTACATGACAATGGTTGTCTTCCCTGGGGGGTCCGAACAAGGCCCCCAGGGGAGGGGTCCGAACAGTGCCCCCCAGGGGCCCCATCATGGCCAAAAAGAAATCAAGATGGGTTCCAAAACGCCCGCTATGCCTCCAAGGATCCCCGCAAAATCAAACCCATGATAGCAATGTTTCTGTGCATATTTGCAAACGCGATCCCGAAATGCCGTCGTGTCCGTGACAACTACTGACTGGCAGCGTGCGGCGCCGAGGCCAGCCCTGCCACCGAGGGGAAGAAGAACGGAAGGACGCTTGGACCTCCGACGTCGAGGACCCAGGACCGAGGAAGTTGAAAGACAGATGCGTCTGGTTTGTTTAAAACCCTCGGGGATCACTGGGCACCCCATCCTCCCCGAAGCATCGCGGGGCGGGACCGGTCAGCCTTGCGGGCCTCAACTGCTGACTGGCAGCACGCGAGAAGGCCAGCCGAGCCACGGAGGGAAAGGGCGGAGGGGCGTGATGGAAACTGACACACAATACCCAAACCGACATTAGTGTAAACTGTCGGAGGTCCGCGCCGAGGTCCTGGGTCTGCGCTTGGCCCCCCTTGCCACACCCCTGGCGGCGCCTCCAGGAACCCCCTGGGCGCGCTGGGGAAAGGGCATGGCGAAGAGGGTCCAGCGCCGACTCAAGATATCCGCGAGGACCTCCGAAAGTATTCCCCCCAGCCCTTTAAGGCGTTAGTGGTCAAACGAATTCGTTTTTCCAACCCCTTTCCATCCCCTTCGAGAGGGAGGTTCCCCCTCAGGGGGGGGCCGCGGGTCGTTGAGGCGTCCACGATGGCCCGAAAATGACTCCAAGAAACCTACAGGTAGCCCAACATCGCCGTCAAGATCGCTCATAATAGCCCGATATGGTTCGATGTTGCCTCCAACGTGCACCCCTGACCCCTCAACGCCGCTCCAGGACGGGTCCAAGTGCCTCCCGAACCTCCCGAGGGCGAGCCCGATATGCCAACATCATCCAAACAACTTAAATGCGTCAGTGTTGTTTGCCTTCTCGCAGTTTCGATGCCGATGGGTTCTTGAGGCCTCATGAAGGCTCCAAGATGGTCCAGGACCGTTTCCTCCTCCTGCTCCTCCTGCTCCTCCTCCTCCTGCTCCTCCTCCCCCCTCCCTCCCTTCTGCTGATTCCTCGAGTCCGTCTCTCTGTGGCGGGTGGCGTTTCCCTTTTCTTTGTGGCGGGTTGCGCCACCGCCAGAACAGCACCAGACAACGATCGAAAGCAACCCACAATGCCACTAAAAATCGCGAGGCCTGGCCGGCACGAGGAGGAAGGACGACGACGACGGCAACGACGACGTAGGACGACGGGGCGAGAAAGCGAGAGAGGAGTTAGGGATGCCAAACTTTTTTTTTTTAATATGTGGGCCCCGGAGGTCACTCGACCCATTCCCTGGAGTTGTTTTGAGCCCTTGGTGACTTTTTTGGCACCAGGACCGCAAAAAGGCCCCCTGGGACAAAAAAGCAGCAAAACGGTGGGATCGGAAATTACTCCGCAAAATGTCTGGGCGCGCCCGCCTGAGAATCCACCGGCCTCCTCAAGGAGGTGACGAAGCAGCTAAAGCTCGATCGGGAAAGTCGGTTAAGGGAGAATGATGACGGTGAGGAGGAGGAGGAAGAGGAGGAAGAAGAAGGGGAGGAGGAACGGAACATGCGGAACGAACATGGCCCAACAACTGATCGAGAGAAGCCCGCGCGGGCCCAGAAATCGGCGCCGAAACGATATCCAAATCCACAGGGTGCGCTCCGAGAGCCCGAATAAAACTCCAAGAGACAACTTGTCTGTATTCGGCGGAAGGGCCAACTGATCGCGCCGCAAATGTCAACGACATCCGAATCCGCCCAGCGAGAGCCCCGAAAGCCCCCGAGAGAGTACGATCTCACATAAGACCCCCACCATCAAAGTGCATCTTGGGGCTGGTCTTGTGGGCAGGGATTGCCGTGGGAGAGGGCCCAGGGGCGCGGGATGAGCGGGGAGGTTTTCTGCTGATGTTTGTTTGTTTGCTTGCATTGGAACAAAGCGGACTGCCACTTTCCCGCGCAACCAAAAAAAAAACGAACGGGAGAAAGGCGCGCGCCACCTGCATCTTACGGGCGATCCCGCTGGACGCCCGCGAGCGCGAAAACCGCGAAGAAGCCGGACCGACGAAAAGCGCGAGAGACCCCTGAACCTTGCAAGATCTTGCAGCGCCCGCCCAATCGGCCAAGGCAGACGCAGGCGCCCGCGCGGGGCGCGCGCATCATCACAGCGACAGCAAAAAAAAACACGCCAGGCCCTGAAGCTCGCAAAACGCATCCTGGAGCGATGGCGCACGCATAGATCCGCAGTCGAATCGGATTGAAGCTCGCACGGGCTGCGCTAGATCAGACCGGCGCGCGCGACACTCAAACGCGCCGAAGCTGTAGCTTCTCGCGCACGCAGGAAAGCTGCTCGCTCATTGAAAAAAGCCACGCGCGCAGGAAAGCTGCTCGCCCACAGGGCACGGCTACATTTCGGCTTTTCTAAGGGCGGAATTATGCGAGAGGAGCTTTTCCAGCCTTTTGGAGGCACTGCTCCCAAGCGTCACGCCCCTGCTTCTCCTGTTTCGTCAGCGGTCGGTGTTCTCTACCGCGTGACCCATCACAATTCTGGGGTCCTCGGCTGTAGGCGTATCAAACCCGACTCTTTCTCTTCGATGGGGGGTCGCTACTGCCGCGGCTGCTGCCGCGCCCATCCTGCTTCTTCGGGCGGTCGGGTTTACCGTTCTTGCTATCGCCTCTGCCCTTACCCCTTTCTTTCTTGTCTCCTTTACCCTTACCCCTTGAGTCAGCTCTGCCCCCTCTACCTTTCCCAGTCGCACCTCCATGGGAGGGCCCTGGCGTGGCCACCTGGGTTCTCCCGTTTTTCTGCTGGGGCGCGGGTGCTGCTTTCCTGGGGCGCAGGTATAAACAGTCGTGCCAGCTTAGAGGACATTGCCCCTTTTGCCAGCGTCGGCAGAAAACGGACTTCGTGAGCCCCCCGCCCTTCATGGTGAGAGAACCCTTGTTCACCCCACCTGTTCTCTCGCCACTGGGTTCCACCCCTCGCTTGTTAATCTGCTGCCTCTGAATTCTTCGATTGCCCCCTCCCCGGTCCTTCAGCATCTGGTTGGCGATTCTTCCCATCAGCCATTGATACGACTTCATCCCCTTTCCGTAAGTGTCATCGCTGTTGTCATACATTGCAAGGGTCATTGTCATGCACGGGCACTTCTTTATCTGTTTATAGAAGTGACTCTGCATGGACGGCCTAAAAGACTGATGGGGTTTCTCCATCTCTAATGTCACCCTCATCCATTCGTCTTAGAAGTGGTAGAGGTCCCGGTCGGCCTCCTTTCCTTCTCCCTTAATCTGAATGGCCATGAGGTCCTCATAGGTGTACACCTGCCCATGGTCTTCCCGAGTGGCGACATGAGTTTGAATAATGCGAAGGATCGATCTTCCTGAAAGCAGTCCTCCAGCCTTCATTAACGCTGGGTCAGCGAGATCAACTTCGTTGGCAAAATGTCTTAGAGCATGGGAAACATTCGGATCCCTTTGAATCATACTGATTTTAGCGATGCGGTCAACGGCTATTCGTACATCCAGGTTCCCAAGATACGGTCCCGGGTCCTTCAGAGCCTTTGCATTGACCTGCTTAGGCTCGAGTGCCTCGGCCACCCATTTCGTCGCCAGAACACGGTTTTGCCGCGAACACGACGCCGCTGCCCGTGTGACGGACTCTTTCCACATTCGGAAGGATCCCGCGTCCGGCAAGGGATCTAACGTGATCTTGTCAATTCGGTCTGCCGCAACTCATGGGGTCATCGCGGAGGCCAGTCCGCCGCAGTCCGGGAGACCCGGGCCCCCGCCCCCTCCAGGGGGCCCCGGGGGCGGTGGTCCGCCACCCCACGGATCGCCTTGCCCGGCGTTCTGAGCTGCGGCGCATCGGCTGACTCTACGGTTTGCAGCTTCCTCATCTTCTTCCTCGGAGCTGTCGTCATCTCCGTCCTCGGAGCCCTCCTCCTCGGAATCATCTTCGCCACTGGAATCCTCGTCGCCATCGTCGTCGTCGCCGCCGCTACCATCATCTGGGTTGCCGCCCCCAGGCGCGCGACCA